AGTTCAAATTAGCAGCGAGTGGCATAAGAGCAACATAACTGTGGAGTGGCACTGCAGAAACTTGAGCCAGAAATGGCATTTTTTTGCTGTAAATTATTGGTGGGAACTCCTGTCAATGCCTAACCGCAAAAGCATTGCCGCTGCCTATTCAGGGTCCACTTGATTTACGGCTCGACAAAGGGATGTATTCCTGAGCCACTAGTTTCGCTCTCCATTTCTGGGGTTGGCTTCTGTGCGTGTTGCCCGGCCAATTGGCGGAGTTTTCCGGGAATTTACAGAAACATAAACTCACTCGAATCGACTCGACTCGACTCGACGGCGGCCACACGTTTGCCGTTTTAATATTTTTATTGGTGCTCTTTTATCTGGTTTATGTGCTTAGCCCGCGCTTCCCTCTCCCCTGCCATCGAAGCAAGGGCGCGAAAGGGTTTTTCCACGCTGCTCCTGCTTCAGTCCTGCTTGTTTCTTGGGTTGGCCCAGCATTGTTTTTTATTATTTAATTTAAAGGGTTTCTTCTTCTCGTTTTGGCAGTGTGCCTGAAATATAAATTGGCAAATAAATAAGGGAACAAAATACGTAATATGTTTATGGTCTGGCGAGGATCCTGTGTGCTGCCATGACAGGGCAATAAAACAATTTACGAGTCGCACCCCGGAATCAAATATGCGCCAAGAGTCCATAGAGGGGGCTAAGCTCACACGCTTATTACGCATACGCCGAGTGCAACGTCAACAAGCAGCGTAAATCAAACGTGGCTCGAACTGGCAATGCAAATTGAGAAACTGTCAGCGCCAGCAGACAGTCGACAGTCGGAAGCATCGCAGCAAGAAGGATGCACAGCCAGGGCCTGCTAAGTGCAAACGTAAACGAAAATAGCACGAAAAAATAGCATTTCGCCTTTGCGGATTTATTTGGCATTTCAAAATGTAATGCGCTGGGCGGTGGCAACAGAATAGAGCGGGGCCAGTGGGTGCTTCAGGCTCCCCCAAATAATTTTATGCAAATGATATGTGCATAAAAGTCAAGCCGGATTCTGACAGCGGAGGCAGCAATGCAAATGGGCGGATGAGAGGATTGTGCAGGTCGTCGTTGGTGGGTGTGTGGCAGCAGCTTTCACATGTGAAACCAGTTGGAACGATGAATAGATTGAGTATCGACAAGCGCGAGGGATTGACGGGTTCACGCCCAGCGCGAAATGCAGCAACAGCAGCACACGGTAGGAGGTTCTGGCAAAGGACCAGCTGGCAGCATTTGCATATTTCGGGTGTCAAATGGCTCCTTCTAGGTGGCAAGGAATGGCATTCACTCGCACGGCCACGGGTTTTTGTCATTTTTGTACCTTTCTTCTCCTATTTTTTTTTTTTCCCGCTGTCGAAATTGCTTGGCACGTCCTCTGTCCCGCTGTCGTTGACATGCAGTTCCATCTCTTTGCCTTTGATAAATGCACTTACGACGCTGGAAGTCAACCGGGTTACCGTCTGCCTCTCTATAGAGTCCTGCCTCTAATGTACGTCACAGCTTAAATTGCAGGCAATAAAAAGTGAATTGGCCACAGAAAACTGCGCTTTAAGCCATACATATTGAGGGTGCTGGGGTGCTGGGGTGCCCCTCGGCTAAATAATTTGCATGCATTAAATATGCAACAAAGCAAAAGAGCACAAAATGCAATATGCTGAGAGGATGCCAGCGGATGCCATGGATCCGTGAACGGCCACGTACCAGGTGTGGCAATGAGGCCCGCGGCTGTTACTCCACCCTCCATATGCATGGAAATCTCGGCTAACAAGCAAACACTTTGGCCAAGGAAGCCGCCGAAACACGAAACAGCAAGAGCAAAAAATGTAATGAACATTCCCGCAGCAAACTAAATTTTCGTTGCCTTTCCGCTTTTCCTTGGTTTTTCTTCGGGCTTCAGTCGCTTCTATGCATATTTTAAAATGCATTGAAATGCAGATGGTGTACGTGTGTGTGGCGAGGGGAGGGGGGTGCACAGTAAACACTAAACAAATGCCAAAACAAGACAAGAAAAAGTGCGCGCAAAGCGCTGCTAAGAGCCAAGCGACTCTCCTCAAAGATGTTGCTACACTTGCGACACGTGGCAAAAGTTTTAATGAAACAAAGTGTGGCTGCAACCGGAGGATAGCCGCTGTGGCTCTGCCTCTGGCATGTAAGCTGAACCGCAGCAGAGCAGCCCGAAAAGAGAGCAAAGTTAGACGCTGTGGCAACCACGCAACGGAAATGAGAAAAGCGACTGCTGTGTGGCAGTGTGTCAGCTGAAAATAATGCAACACTGTGGCACTGTGGCACTGTGGCATGCATATTTCAGCCGATTGCATTGAAAACCCGCATCGTGTCACAACCATGTTGCCATTCGAATCGCTCGCAGAGTGCAACTGAAACTAAAACTCTTTGCCACAGAGCAAGGCGTGGGTGCCATCTGATTCGGGCCTCAAATCTGGTGCGTCAGGCAGCTCGAAATCGAAGTGCTTCGTGTGTTCTCCCACAGAACTGAGGCCGCTTTTCATTTACAAAAGCAAGCGAGAATGCCACATGCCACCAGCTCCTCGCTCCTCGCTCCTCATACACACAGCCATTACCTTGTCAGGGAGCAGCAGCTGTGGCGCAGATATTTATGCCACAATGTTGACTGTGCCAGCTGGAGGCATGCCTCACCGCGTCGAGTGTGCAGCTGATCAATTATTTAGGCAACCAACTGCGCTTTTTCGCATCACTGTTCATGAACACTTGTCGCAGGGTATCCACATGTTCGACTCTCTCAATAGTTCCCTGGATTCTTGTTCAAATTGAGTTTATTGTGTGGTGCTGGCTGAGGGACTGTTGGAGGGGTGGGAGGCACTCACTCACACAACCGCAGAGAGCTGTATGCTATATGCATTTCTGATGTAAGTGCTCTGCACATGTGTGTGTGTGTGTGTGTGTGTGTGTGAGAGCGGCTCCTGTGACACAGTTTCGCGAGGACATCGCGGACAGAGAGAAAGTGTTCGGTGGGCGCGGAAGTGGCGAAAGTTTTGTGTTTCTCCCTCTCTCTCACTTCCAGTTGAGCTGGAGCTTCCTCTCTCTCTCTCTCTCGCGCCTTTAAGTATGCAACATTATTGCGAGTTGGTCGAGAGACAACGAATGAAGTTCGTCGTGCCATCAGAGCTTCGATGGCCCCCCCTCGCACGCTCTTTCGCAGTTTTAATGCAATTTTGTGCATACTTTGAAACCAGTTTAAAATTGTTTAATGCGCCCACAACTCGTTCACCCCAAAGCCCCCAGCCCCCAGCCACCAACCTCCCATCAGAGCCACAAAGGCTTACGCACACACACGAACACCTCGCCAGGACGAAGTGGTTTGCATGTTTAATGCATTTCATGCATGCAATTTAAGGCCAACTGCATTTTTGGCCATTTGAGAAATATGTGCAAGAGCCTCGACATGTGCCACTTGGGCCCGAAATGTTTTGTGGCCCGAATGACCAGCGCCTGTAGCCTGCAGTGGGGAAGAGGTCTGCCTGCACCGCACACAGTTTTGCATCAAATTCATGTGCAAGACTCTAATTTCGGAAGGCGCCAGAACACCGAAACCCGAAAACTCAACCCCAAAACGGGGCCAGCAGAGTTGTCCTCTGGCCGGAGTGGTGCCTATCGCGTCCGAGTGGCAAGAACACAGAAATATTTATGCATGGTGAGATATTAACGCTGGCAGCAGACAGCCAGTCGACTGCTGTACGGGGCATAGAAGAGATTTAAAGTGGCCTCTCCGGGCACCCCATGGGGACTGGCATTGCCACTGACCACAGCTCTAAAACTGCAGGGGGGGGGGACGGGACTCCTCCTGCTGCTGCTGCTGCTGCTGCTGCTGCGTCTTAAAGTTCATTTAGCTGCGAAATTTCCACAATTTTACACAAGCGTGCACTCGGCTCCAGAGAGACAATATAAAATCGGACAGAGAGGGACAGGACAGGGCAGGGCAGGGAAGGTTCCAGCATTAAAGTCTGACCAATTTGGTGGCGCTTCCTTTGTGCTCCATAAAATGATGATCTGCGAAAATGTCCTTTTATGTTCGTTGGACGCTAAGGACCTGTAAAAGTGTCTGTAAAAGAGGGGTCAGAGCAGGACAGGGCAGGGCAGGGCCTTGGGTTGACTAAAAGCAAAGACAACCCACCTGGACACGTAGTAGCAGTAGCCAGGATGGCCAGGATCTGCGTCTGGGTGCCATAAAAGATAAAATGGAAGGCACAAACGGAAGAGTGCAGCCAGCAGCCGGCGACTTTTAGCCCGTTTGCTGATGCTGCCATTTTTGCTCAGCTTTTGGCCAGCTCCTTGGGGTGTCTCTCTCTCTCTCCCTCTCTCTCTGTCTCCCGCTTTGTTGCAGCTTGCAGCCTGTTGTTGTAATCAAATTTGTTACGCTGCGTTGGTGTCCCTGTCCCCGTGCAAGACTTGGACTTTTGCTCTTGAACTACATGCAGGCAGGCAGCAGGCAGCAGGCGCCTGGCATTTGCCACGCTTCGCTGCGCTCATTTGTCGCCAAGAGCCAACAATGGCCAGCAGGACTTGCTGGCTGCGTGCCTGGGTCAGGCAGTTTCTTTTTTTTGTTTTGCCAAAGGCCATAGAAATTTGTGTGCCTTTAAGGCTACGGGTGTGGAACTCTGACAGCAATTTTCACGTTCACCATGTTTGGCGCAGCCCCAAACGATGCCCCAAGGACACCGAGTGCGTTAGCATTGCCCCCCCCACACAGACCAGTTGACACTCTCCCCCCACAGCCCCACCGCCACACCGCTTCACATGAACTGTGCGCTTTTATCGGCATCCTGGGAGCCATGGGCGCCACCGTAGAGGCGTGAAGGGCAACACATTTTTATGCTAATTGAAAGCCGTTCAATATCGGGCGCCTAAGGAGGATTGGGACCCATTATTATTGTAACAGCAGCAACAACCCAAAATCTATGTCTATATAACCATAACTCAAGCTCTTGTTTCACTCCCATTTGCAGGCAGCAACAGCCGCTCGATGAGCAACGTGCAACAGTCGGCGGCCGCACCATCATCGCTGACCGCATCGTTGCCGCGCTTCCTGTCCCGAGGCCACACCTATCGCGCCGTGGTCGGCGACACGCTCGTCCTGCCCTGCCAGGTGGAGAATCTGGGTGAGTTCCGAGGGTTTGGTATAATTAATCCGCTGGCATTAGCATTGGCGATGCCCGAAATTCGATCATAAAAATCAACAGAGAACAAAAAATATAATAATGTCAGCGACGCGTGAGGGGCAGCACAGAATTATGCAAAATAAATGCAAATATGTTTAGGCAGAATGTCAATTCACATCAATTTAATGTACAACAAAAGCAGCAACCACACGTGGGCCGGGGGCGGGGTGGTGGTAGGTGCCAAACTGCCAAACTGCCAAACCAAACAGCTGTCAGCAGCTTGTCGCTTGGGTTTTTGTGCCACGACAGCGGCACACATTCTCTCGTGTTGGCAGCAAATAAATTTGGCTGATTAACGTGCTGCAGATGCTGCCAGAACGCTGTTTAGTCTAGCATCAATTTCCCAATATATGATATACACAGAGGAAATCCTGCCAGCGAGCAGCCATTTCGGTCTTTAAACATTGAACACAAATGACATTCGGCTGGCCATGGATGCATGAAACAAAATATGCATCGCTTTTGGGATATTTGTAGCTGCGATTGGCCATCGATTGAAATGCAATTTTATTGCAAACTCTTAATTAACGAAGAGGCAAGAGGCAAGAGCCACACAAAACTGTCCATCCACTGGGTGCGCTTTGTTTGTGGGCAAACAGCTCGCTGGTCTGTCTGACGTGACGCGTGGACAAAATCGAACTTTAATCAATTAAAGTTCACAATATTTGCTGCGACTAAACATTTCCACTAATATTGGCAGAGGAGTGGGGGATTATCGTTCGATTCGCTTTCAATTTTGACCCAAATAAGAAAGTTTGTGGCAGCCACGAGGGGGGTGGCCTGCTGTTGACATGCCAATAAATAAAATGCAATTAACCGTTCGCGGCAAATGAAAATAAATTGCACATTGATGGCCGTGCGACGACACTGGCAGATTGACGTCAGTCAAAGGTTCAACCAGCAGATAGAGCAAAGAGCCAGGCACCGTGCAAAATGCCGGAGAAAGTGTTTTGTTTTCCTTTTTGCCGCCAGTGTAGAACATTTCCGGATGGCATCAAAAGTATTTTCAATTAATTGGATACACGCGCACAGAGCGACAGCCATTCGACTGCAAATGATTTCCCATTAACGCCTGATGTTTCGACTTGTTGTGTGACACTCTGATTTTCAATCTCTGCCTTAATCTGCCGCGTCACTGACATTCCAGATTGGTCATTGGATATGTGTGTTCATTGTGCCTGCACTTATGCTCGGCTCGACCCAGCAAAAACACAAATAAATTGTTGCTTAATGTGAGGCGAGAAGACTTTGAAGTAGAGCTCGTCCATTTCCATTTAAATGGCAATATTCAGATACGGAGACAGACTTTAATCGACCAGCAATTAAATGCAAATAACTTTTAACATTTCCTGCTAAATAATCAGGATAATGCCACAACGAGCAGCGACAGAGAGTGAAGCAGCGTGAAGGAGTAATTCTATCGCAGAGACAATGCTTCGATTGCACTTTGTTCAGTTTGTGTTTCTGGTTTTGCCTGTCACTCTGCTGCTGTAGTTTTTCTGCGTTGCTTCTTGTTGCCTTTCTCCTTGTGCCTGCTGCAGTGTCATCAATCCGCATCAGCTTTTAGCGGCAGTCGGACAGTGTGAGGGTTTGATTGCAGCAGATCCGGTCAGCGCTGGCCGAGGTCGAGCAGAAGGTGGAAAAGCCCTTAATCCAATAAAAGAAATTAAGTATCAAATGGTCTATGAAGCCGTTCATTGATTGCCCCATCGCGAGTCGTGTGTGGAGAGGAGTCCGTGTGTATGTGCCAAGCAAATACGTATACGCCGTGTTGTCACCCGTTGAGTGGGGCACCAAAATGCTGGTCAATAAATGCTGAGCTCCGTTTCAAATTGGATTTTCATTGGTCTGCGAAGCAGGCAATCCAATGTAAGGTATTGACTTTCCAAATTGCCTCCGCCCCCAAGAATAAAGAATTCATTTGGGCCTGAACCCGTTCGACTGCAGCCAGTAGTCAGGCTCTTAAGCTGGACAGCAAAAGCCCCAAACAGAAACCCCACAAATTCATACATGTCGGAAATGGACGAGCTATAAAATGAAATTTTCATTGCCGCTGCCAATAATATCAACATGCGGCAGCACAGCCGCCATTAGAGGCTCCAATAAAATGCAGGACTCATATAACATCACAATAAAACCCACCACCACCTGCGCCACACACACAGAGGAACAATCATCATCCCACAATTGCTTCCTAAGACTCAAAGCAATTCAATAATAATCGAACCCGCCCCATAAAACGATGATTGTGTGAGTGTGACTTCAACTTTGCTGCGGCTTATGGTATTTGCATTTGTTGTGGGGCATTGGACTCGGGTGGAGCTTCTCTGTTTTTTCTTTTGTGCTGTTAATAACCGGAAGGATATCGGCACGCGCACCACTGAGCACACTCATTACGTGTGCGTATGCATTTTAAAATCGACATCCATAATGCATCGCTTTAAGCTGTGATTACTTAATGGCCACCTTAAGGTCGGCCCAAATGTCAGCTGACGCCCAGCCCAGCCCAGCCATCCGCGCCAGGGGTCAGTCATGCGATGGCCCCCGACCAGATGGTTGCAAAAATGAAAACATTTCATTAAAATTTTATATTCGAATGCTGAAATCATATTCCCACTCTCCCGATACACACACACACACACACATTGCCCGTGTCGTGTGTTTACACAACTCTGATTTTGGGGTTTTATGGCACGTATACGTAATATGTCGATGAGGCGCTTTTGCACGTTTTTTTTTGTTGTATTTTTTTAATATTTCCATAATAAATACAAGTTCATAAATTGTTCGAGGCTTTCGGTGGGCCCACAGCCCGAACTCTCGGGCACGGCACATCAAATAAATAAACATATTATACGCCACTTAATCTCATTTAACAAATTCTCTCGTTTGCGGAGAACAATGAGAAGAAGAATAAAAATAACAACAACAGCAAACAGCAAACAGCACAGAAGGAGGGCAACAAAAAACTAAAGTGGTATAAAATATGCAAAGACTAAAAAAAAAGCTAAGAATTATGCCAGCAACATCTGCAAAATTATGTCATTTATATGAGCAAACATACTAAAAAATAGATGAAAACAGAAGCCCGCACACAGACAGGACTCCAAGCTACGTCTTCCCTTTGTGGGATAGATGCCATGGCCAGCTATTCCGTAGACAAACAGAAGTGAAACTCCAGAATGTTCACGGCTCAACGGGTGAGAGAGAGAGAGAGAGAGATGGCAAAGGCAGGAGATGGATAGATGTAGATATACCCAGCCATATGCGAGACACAAAAACTACGTCATAGTGACAGTGAAAAGTATACAGACACACTCGTTGGTGTGTGCCTCGCTGGAGAAATGTTTCGTGCTTATATTGCGGCATTTTATAATACATTTTCTAGGCAACACGAAGACACATTTCCCCCCAACTTCTACCACATTTGGTGTGCTCATGATGTGCCCAACCTTGCGTCTACTCTTGCAGGCAATTTCGTCCTGCTGTGGCGACGGGGAACAAATGTGCTCACTGCCTCCAACATCATGGTTACCCGGGATGAGCGCGTAAGACTGATAGATGGTTACAATTTAGAGATATCCGATTTGGAGCCGCAAGATGCCGGGGATTATGTTTGTCAAATCAGTGACAAAATAAATCGTGATCAAGTGCACACAGTTGAGATATTGGGTGAGTACAAGCCAGCATTTGACAAGTGTCAAGTGGGACTGTCCCGCCCCCGCTGGGGACCCACGACAGTGCATCAATTAATAACTTATTTAACCCATTTCTCCATGGCCATTCACAGTTCCGCCCAGTGTGCGGGCCATACCCACATCCGGACAGCTGCAGGCCCGCAAGGGAGGACCCATCACGCTGGAGTGCAAGGGCTCTGGTAATCCGGTGCCAACCATTTACTGGACCAAAAAGGTGGGTGTCTCCTTTGCTGTTGTTCTCGTTTGCAATTCCGATGGTATTTTTAAGTGAATTTCATTTGAGTTTAATTGAATTGAATTTGCCCAACTGCTTCGCTTCGTTATGTAAATTTAAATTGTGTTTTCGCGCAGTGCCAGGCACTGGCACGGTTCGCGCTGCCGCTTGGCCACCGTTTCTCTGCTGCTGAGCTCTTTGAAGGCGCTACTTGGAATCATTTCCAGATCCAACAACTTTTGTTATTAATTAAAAATGATTCGGGATTTTCGTGCTAGACATTAAAGCCCAGCAGAGCAACAGAAAAGTGTACTATAAATCAACAAAATATGCCACAAGACATCGCTCGAGAGTTTTCATTTTCAGCACACATTCCACGTTGAAATCTGTGCAGAGTGAAATGATAAATTGCGAGGCAGCCGAGGAGCCGGGGAATCTACGATTGTGGCATGTGGCTCTGTAATGGGAGGCAATTATGAATTCAACAAACACATAATTTTACGCATGAGCCAACAAAGGGATAACATATTTGCCAGCCCCTCTTCAAAGTGGGTCAAATGGGTGGCTCCCTCACCAGCCTGCCACATCCTGCCACATCCTGCACACATCCTGTCGGTGTTTTGCGTATACAAATGGATTTATGCCTACTTGCATGACTTGCAAATGCGAATGCGAGTTGGCAATTAGTTTTCGCTGCTAATTTCGAGGAGTTTATCAACTTGCCAACTGGAGCACTAGACACTCAATGAATCAATTTCCCCCATTGCCATTTACCACACATGTACACGACATTCAGGGTCTGATTCTGGCATTCATTCGATGCCATTTAGGTGCCAAAATGAGGGATACACACTAAATCACTGTCAGTGGCAGTGCCAAGCAAAAGCCAGCAAAAGAAGGAACCGGAAACCCAGCGAGTGTGTCTCTCTCTCTCTCTCTTGGTCCCCCAGTCGAACCTGCAGTCAAATTGTAATTAATGCGATTCATAGACCCACAAAAGTATGCTGCGACGTGCGAGGAGTGTGTAGTGAGAGCTGGCAGCAAACAGAAAGTGACCCACTGCCTGTCAGTGTCACTTCAGCAGGGGATCGATCCCCTACGGAAACCGAGATGGAGAGAGGAGCAGGCGTTGGGGCGGGTCAACGAGCGCACAAACTTTCAATAAAGCAAGTGTCGGAGCAAGGACTCCACATGGGCATTGGGTTTGGGGTTGCTTCCCTTCATTTTGGTAAGAGTTCCGTTTGCATTACTGCACTTTGGCGCATTTGACATTTCCGTTCGATTTGTTTGTCTGCATTCAGCAGAGGTACCTGCCAGACCTTGTCGCCATGGCACCGCCCACACCAAAGACACTGCCAAGTTATATGTCATTTCATTTTGTTCGTTTCGTTTCGTTTCAATCTATCCTCGAGTGTGCTGGCGCTTCCGCAGGTTGTCTGTGTGGAGCACACGTTGACACGTGCTCCCCTGGCTCCCCAAGTTGGCTGCCAAAGAAAAGACGCTCGCAGCCAGGGCAAAGCTGACTTCGTCTCCTCCCTTTGGGAGGGGCTGCCACAGCTCCTTTGCCATCGCCTCCACTGGAAGTTGGATGTTCGATGTTCGATGTCTGTGTTTACATTCAGTTTTGCATGCTCCACATCCACTTCCACATCCAATATTTGAGCGCAACTTGACTTTTGGCACGACACCGCACTGCACAAACCTTTGCCCCTTGCCCCTTGCCCCTTGCCCTGTGCTGCGTTTGTCTTTTGACATTTGCTACTTCATTTTTGCGTATCTTGCGATTCAATTTGTGCGGAACCTTGTTTACAGAACGCTGCTAAATCGTTTCCCTTTTCCTTTGCAGAGCGGCGCTAACAAGTCCACCGCCCGCATTGGCGACGGACCCATCCTGACTCTGGAGAAGCTGGAACGGCAGCAGGCGGGCGTCTACCAGTGCACCGCCGACAATGGAGTGGGCGATCCTGTTACCGTCGACATGCGCCTGGATGTCCTCTGTAAGTATTGTTCGCCGCGAAATGTGTCCATTAATCACAGCAGCAGATGCCACGGGAATAACCAAATGCCAGCTGCGAAAAGAAAGTGCTCTTCAAGGGCACAAGACACACACAATCACGCACCATTCCCACATGGCTCGTAAATCAGGGGCTGCCTATGACAGATGCAACACGGAGATGCAACGGCAGTAACCAAACCAAATCGAAGGCTGGGGAAAACAATTTGAAAGGAGAAAAACGAACCAGAAACCAAAAACCAGAAACCCCGAGCCCTGAGCCCAGAGTCCGGGTCTTAGCAACTGTATATAAATTGATTTTTGACTGTAATCAGATTTCTGCTTTCATGTGCTAAATTCCTTCTCTCTCTCTCTCTCTCGCTTGCTCCATCTCCACCTCCATCTCTGCATCATGCAACCTGACGGATGCCTTGCCTTGTCTGTGAATGTGCCTCTGCCTGTGGCACACAGATCCCCCGGATATACAAGTGGAAAAGTCGTGGATACATTCGGGCGAGGGTTTCGAGGCGAAACTCGTTTGCATTGTCTACGCTGATCCAGTCGCAACGGTTTGTTTGGCTCTTTGAATGCATCGTTTCATTCGTTCCATTGTATCCAGCAGATAGTTTTTGTTATTTTCGTGGATTTTTAGATTATTACGATTACGGGAAAGGCAACACAGCCCCTGCCCCTGTCCCTGCCCCTGTCCCTGCCCCTGTTCCTGTTTCATGCAAGAACTTTGTTTTCAGGTCACTTTTTCCTGTTTTTCAGTTATTCAGCTTTTCGTTTCGTTTCGTTTCGTTTCGTTTCGTTCGTCCATTCTGCAGGGTCCTTTCGTTGTCCTGTGCTGGCTCGCAGTTTCTTTTTCCTCTCTCTGTTTTTTTTTTTTTGTGTAGTTTTCTGTGGCAAATTAATGCCATTTTTATTTGGCCAACTTTCGTTTCTTTTTCGCTGCGAATTGTGGCAGGAAAAACTGCCAGCAAGTGGGTCAAATTTGAGCTGAATTTATTAGTTGAAATCGCTGTTGCACTCCATTGACATGTCCTTTATCATCGTCATCGACTGCGCTGCCACCCTGCTAATCCCCACCGTCTGCCTTCTTGGCATCCCCATCTTCACGCTGCAGGTGTCCTGGTACCAGAACTCATTTCCGATCCAAACGACCGATAGACGAATCATGAACACCAGGGCCAATCGTCACACACTCACCATACGCCACATTCAGCAGGAGGACTTTGGCAACTACAGGTGAGTCCTCCACAAGGCAGCAGCACAAGTGGCGGGGCGTGCCACACACAGCGTGCCAGCTTGTGCAAGTTGTGCCCGGCCAGCGTTGATTTAGTCAATTTGGTAACTTTTGCTACAACTTATTTCACTTTCTGCCCTGCCCTGCCCTGCCCTGCCCTGCCCATCGGGCCACTGAGCGGTTCAAAGTTCCCAGTTGGCTGACTGACTCACTGACAAGCTGGAATCAGTCCGAGGGCCAAGCAGCAGCTAAGCCAAGTTGGCCAATGCTTTATTTGCTGCCAGCCAGCACCCCCGGGGAATTCTACCAATGCGTCCGTGTCCATGTCCATGTGGCAGTGGTGTCTGGGCGTGTATCTTGCCCATTTTGCGGACAAACAAGTTTTCTGCATCAATGTCAATCTGTCTGAAACATATTAAAGAAGCGGAAGTTTCGCCATGTTGACACAACATTTCATGCACAAAGTTTTAGCCATCTTCCATGGGGGCAGCCACCATGACCAGCCACCTGGACCAACCACCCACCCAGTGAGTGGCTTTTGTGCACACGACGTGTCGACGTGTTTGGCTTAGTTGGAGTCGACTCTGCCACTGCCAGGTCAGACACACTCCCTCCTGCACTCTTTCGGCTGGCACACAGCCCACAGTGGCTGGCATATGAGTAATGCTGTCAGAATGTAATGCAAAATGAAAAGGAAATTCGATGTTTGTGTGTGTTTTTGGCCCCAAAAGCCAATTAGCTCGTTGCCCTTTACTGATTTTGCCATCACTTTCAGCTGCGTTGCGGACAACTCTTTGGGACGATCGCGCAAGTACATGGAGCTGTCGGGCCGCCCTGGACCCGCGGAGTTCTACTCGCCCAAGTGGGGCCGCTCGCCGGACAGCTACAATCTGACATGGAAAATCGACAGCTATCCGCCGCTGGAGGAGGTGCGTCTGCTCTACCGCCGCGTCCTGGTAAGTGTAAGCCATTCGGCGGCAATCCGATATCAAGGGGGGAAGCGTTTTTTGTATCTTCTTTGGTTTTTGTGCTGTCAATTAATTAATTGTGAAATATGCGCCAAAGCTGCCACAGTGGAGTAGTCGCTGTCTGATACCTAGACAATGGCCAGACCTGCCGCGCAATGTGGCACGTAACCCAATGCCCTGCCACAGCAATGTGCACACTAATGAAGCACGTGATTAAAATGATATTCTGCACGAAAATGTCTAAAAATCGAGCACAAAACAAACGTCGAGAGCGCTGAAAACGAAGCAATTATGTAGCAAAGCAAAGTCGTAAAGCAAAGTCACAGACAGCCTGAGTGAATCAGAGGCAGGAGTCAGACTCAGAGTCGGAGTCGGAGTCAGGCAAAGGTAAAACACAGACAAAAGTGATTTTTAATATCAACGAAAATGCCGCTTAATTGCAACTTGTGGCTACAAAAGGGTGGGGGAGTGAGCAGGCGAAATATTTAATGAGATTTTCACTTACGCGCTCTTGACGATGAATGTCAAACTGCACAGTGGCCTGGGCCTGGGCCTGGGATGGGGCGATGTTCTCGGTAATATTTATGTGCCCTGAAGTGCAATTATTGAAGGAAATTCGAGTGGGCAGGGCTGTGGGGGTTGCTTAATTGATGATGTCGCTGTCATAACTGCACCGAACGATGGAGCTGGAGCGATGGATGGGTCATTGGTGCGCCATGGAGGGGCAGGTACGGCTCCTACGGCAGGACATGAAATTAATTAATGAATCAAAGGAAAAACTGTCAATGGTAGAGTCTGACACTTAATTTGCTTCTCTCTTGTTCTCTCTCCACCTGATAGATGAATGATACCTTCCAGCAGCCGGGCAGGTGGCACGATTTTATACTCACACCCGAACATCGACCGGCCTCGGAGCCCCTGACACACATCATGTCCTACACCATTAAGAATCTCTATCCCGGGGCTTACTACGAGGCGATTGTGCAGGCCAAGAATCGCTATGGCTGGAACGAGGTGAGTTCTCGATGCCCAAAGACCAGGCATTCATCTGAGTCCCCCTACATGCCGGACACTGCCTCCAAACGGACACTGTCCAGGGGGCTACTTAATCTTGATTTTGTGCGACTCTTTCTGTGTACTCAATGCTCGACGCTTTGCTTGCACTTTCACCCCGGCAGGTCAGCGATATATTTCAATTTATCGTCGCCAGCAACAGCCTGGACATTGCCCCCGAGGACGCCGAGGTGGTGGCCAGCTCCAAGTCGCGCAGCAACAGCGGCGCCGTCAGCAGCCTACAGGGCCCACTGCCCCAATGCCTGCTCCTACACATGGCCCTGCTGCTGGCACTGGCCTTGAGTAATTGTCAGTACGACAGGCGTCGGCTGGGTCTGGGTCTGGGTCTGGATCTGGGTCTGGGCTAAGCGACTCACAGCAGACGAGCAGCAGCACCGTCAGAAGAGGCAGCTCACATGAACGGGGGGTCAGAGATACAAAGATCTGGGAAACTTCACATGAGGCGTTTGGTTGGACTTCCGCTAATTGTATACCTCCCCTACCTGCCCCTCGGCCAACCCACTTACTATGAGAAAACAACAACAACAACAACTACAGCAAGCTAACCAAAGAGAAAAACAGCAAAAACTAAAGAGAAACCCAGAAACATTTAAGAGCAGCCCCGAAACACACACATGTAAATAATTTTTGAAGAGTTTTGTCCACGTTTTAATTAGCACACATACTAAATGGAAAATTGGAACATTGGATTGGATAACGGTTAATGGAACACCCGGTATTAAACTGCTCCCACTTGAAACCTCCCAAGAACCCCAAGCCCCCATAGCATAAGCCACTCGAAATAGGTCATGTAAATAAGCATTAGATATCTGAATGTGAATGTACATCAGGATGAACTCCGCAAAGATCCAGCAAAGTGTATTGTAAATTAAGCGAAAACATTATCTAGTGATATTATTTCAAATATGCATTGAAACGGTGTGTTGAATCGATCGCCGCGACTCAGAGCCACGTTAGTTTGTAAATTATTTTCCATACTTGTGTTTCGAGGCCTAACCCTTTGGATTTGCAGCTGTTCATTCGTGTAATTGTAATTGTAATTGTAATTTTATTTTAGCTCGTAAGTGCACCCAGCAGTAAAGGCAACGGCATACCACAGCAATTCAATATTTCATGTTTTTTCGATGTAAAATTAGAATTTAAGCAAACAAAAAAAAGACAAAGTTGTACCACCAAAACAAAAGGAAGGCGAGACGAGTCGAGTCGAGTCGAGTCGAGAAACCAAACTAGGCTAATAGTTTGCTCCCCGATACAGCAGATATAGGAATACTGGACACAGCATAGATAATACTCTACTCGTACTCGTGTTTGAATGTGAACTTTTGCATATTGCGACACGTACATAGATACATAACCGAAAGGCATAGGCAGCAGCACTGTACATACATGGATTTACTTACTTATTGAGTGTTCCGAACTACGAAAACCAACCCGAATCAGCAAGCATTTGATCAGCTTTTGCACCTTTCCGACTGTACTCTGCCCTCACCTGTACATTCTAGCCAGCAGCATGAAGAGATCCGAAAAACAAATGAAAATCAAAGCGTTACAATTTATCTACATAAATGTGTGTATGTATGTGTGTGTGTGCGTGTGTGTGTGTGTGTGTGTGCCTAACATAGCCAGACGCAGGAAAGATTCACTACAGATAATCTCCAGTAGAGTCGAAGGTGGCAAGCGCAAGGGGAGAAGCAACTAAACTCCAACACAGAACCTACATAACTCGTACACACACACACAGAGAGAGAGAGAAGAAGTATAAGATCACCAGTTGGATGGCCAACCAGGAGTTGGCTGGAGAATTCATTAATTACTAACTACTTAGTACGATGCTAATTGTATGATTAATGCGCATAAGAATCCCCGAAAAATACTCAAAAATAAAATAAAGCATTAGATGTAAAACTAAACTCTGCACAAATTGGTTTCATTTCCCATTCTGCAGGTCAAAGTGGAACTGTAAGTCCACTCCACATTCGATGAGGCATGCCTCATGCAAGTTTAAGCAGTGGCTCCAAGTGGCGGGCATGAAATTTAAATGTTGCAATTGCCGAGTGCCGAGTGCCTAGGACCGGACCGGACCGGACCGGCAAGGACCGGCAAACTTTCTCAACAATTTTGCAAGTGGAGAGTTTTTAATATATAATCGTCAATGGGCCAAGCCGAGGACCTGCTCAGGGACTTTTCCAATATTTTTTTCATCATTCGAACTAAGGACATTACCTCGAGCACTTCTAAGCTCTTGCCAGCAGAGCGGCTGACCAGCTCTGGACATCCAGAGAGGGGCATACGTGCCCGGCTTAAATTATTAAAACTTTTGCATTTCGTAAAAGTTTATGCATGAAATTTCATGGGGCGCACAAGCTCCTTGAGCTGCGTTTGGAGGCGGGACGGAAGCCAGGCAAAAATGTGCCACCAATGCTACCAAGTTGCATTTGGAACGAAACGGAACGAAGGGAAGGGATGCCCCGGATGCCGGTGCCGGTGCCAGTTGCAAGTTGCCACTGCTGCCGGTATTTGCATGTTGCAAGAAAGCAATGCGTCGTGTGGGAGTGGCACACTTGATGGCGGCCCTAGTTGTGGAAACTTAGTGACCATTATGCATGCAAGTCTCAATATATTTCACATGAATTTTAATGAAATTTGTGTCGTTGAACTGGCCTGCCCCGGAGCTGGGCGCTGGTCGGACTCCGCCACCGCCAACTGGCGGCTGGGCGGTACATGTCCTGTCCGCTGGTACGGCATTTTTGTGCAAATCATATCGCATAATTGGAGAGCCACAAGCGACTGTTTCCAGCTATTTGCATTGCGAAAATCTTGTGCCGGTGGTGGCCCTGGGACAAGTTTTGGCGCATATTAATTAGCTCGTTTATCATCTCAACACTTTGCCGACAGCCCGAACAGCGTACTCGAAGCAATGTAAAATTAATTAAGTTGCGCCACAAGGAAACTTTTTCCTCCTCCACCCTCCCTGGAATGGAGTGCAATTGATATTCATTTCAAATGGAACCAGAAAATGGGAAATGGGAAATGGGAAATGGGAGAAGAGAATCGAAGCAGAAGCAATAAAAAATTTGCTGGCAAAAGAAACTGTTAACTAACGAAAATGAAATCATAATTAATATTGGTGGAATCGGCAAAGTGCAGAGCTGCCACTGCCACTGCCACGCACCCATGCCCCCCAATGTTGCACTAATAACAGTTGGAAATGGCTGCGATTCCCCTGCCGCCCGCCAATCCGCAGACAGGACGAGTCAGTCAGGCAAGCGCGTCAAGGCGAGCAAGATTCAAACTTTTATAATTAAAATTTTGCAGCTCAGTATTTTTCAGCTATTTTTTTGCAAAAGAATAAAACTCAGGCAAATCATAAAGCTACATGGGGGGCGGCGAAACTTTGCCCTTCGAGTGGGAATTAAATTAATTTTCAACTGATTTGATTTCTCGGAAAGTTATTGCTAAAATGTAAGTTTGGCCACTGCCAATGGAAAAGTTGTCCCGTCCGGCAAATCAAACGAAAAACTGTTCACAGAATGCCAGCGAATTAAATTAACAGAGACAAAAGGAAAAAGAAAACCAGCAAGAATTTCATATGTTGCGCCACTGGCCGCCAGAGAACAAAGGCAAAGATACCACAAGAACAAAAAACTATGGCAACACACAGAGAGCTGGCCAATGGAGGAGCAGCAGGCAGGCAGGCAGGCAGGCAGGCAGGCTCTGGCCGGAATGCGTTGCCTGGCCAACGCACAATAACTCAATGAAATGGTCCCAGGGAGGAGCAGGCATGGCCAGTGCTGTGACCAAACAAATTTACATAATTCCTCAGTTGGCTGTGCCAAGTGAGAGGCGATGTTAGGGTCCTGGGCGGCGTTGTCTGATATTTATGGAGGAAACTTAATGGCGGTTTAAAACGTTGCAGCAGAGAGCTGGAAAAATCGCTCACGGAGCGCCCACTCAGAGAGATACACGCACGAGCATTATGCTAAAACAAATCTACATAATTTAGGAGTAGGCCGCCAGGAAGCAACAACAACAAATAGCAGCACCCGCACCCGCAGCCGCAGCCGCAGCCCAAAGAGCGGACGGCACAAATCAAAAGGCGGGCAGGCTGGAGGCTGGATGGATGCTTCGGAGAAAATTATTTGCGGATGCTAAGAAAAATTTGTACATCAATCGATTTTGTTTGATTTTTTGTTGGTTGGTTCTCTCTTGGTTCTGGTTCTGGTTGTGTTTCTGCTGCCACTTCCACTTCCATTTCCATTTCTCTGTTGAGTTGGCCACAAGAGATTTGCATAATTCATGGCGCTGATGGCTGGTGAGGATTTCAGGATGGGCTCTTCTTCTTGGTCGGGCTGGGGCTGAGTTATTGGGTGGAGCGGGATGTGTCTGCCTGATTGCTTTGAGTGGCTCATTTCGCACAGCCTGCACCCCTGCTGGTGCGGGGGGGTAAATTGGAAAAGTATGTCTAAGGCTGACACCCTCCAACCCCGACGATTCCAGCGAATTTCTGCTCGGCTCTGCTCTGTTCTGTTCTGTTCTGGCATTCGAGGCGTATAATTTTCGCCTTGGACTGCGTGTGGCACGTGAGTGGATCATGTAGTTTTTTAATCAACTTGCAACATGCAAATCCAATGACAGTCGCCGTGTTGCTGCTGGCTGTTGGCTGTTGGCTGCGTGCCGGGGACCTCCATCGGCCGAAAAGAAATACCAGCGAAAAGCAAACAAGTTATGCCGTCAATTTCAATTTATATTCTAATGACATATTGTTCCTGCCATTGTCAATTTTGTTGCGCGTGTCACTGAGAAACCGGGAAACCGACGACACAGAGCTGTCGCAAATGAAAATGGGGGGGGGAGCTGGCGAAATTTAAAAACAATTTTCAAAACTTGCCCCAGAGATTCCCGTATTATGTTTAACTCATTTTCATAAAGCGCGGACAGAAACAGACACTGTGCACAGGGGAGAGATGCGGGGGAGGGGCGGCAGGCTGAAATTATAATGCGAAAACAGAAACAGCGGCGACACCAAAGCGCGACAAAGTTCAGGCAGAACAAAAGTTTATCTCGTACTTTGTTTGCATACACAAAGCCCGAACGGAGAAGAAGCTCCTCTTCGCTTCGTTCTGTTCTGTTCTGGCAATCGTTGCATGAAATTCAACGCAGGAAACACTGCTTTGCGGTAGCTGCTGCTGCCATCCATCCATCCCATCCCAACCCAACCCATCTCTGGGATAAAACAATGACGCCCCCAGGGCTGAGCGTAGTCGTCGTCGAGTGCCGAGTGCCGTGTGCCGTGTGCCGTGTGCCGGGCGTTGAGCGATTTCTTTTCATAAAGATAAATGCCAGAAAGTTGAGGCTGGCTGCAGTCTGGAAGTCGTACTGCAATCTGCCGCCGCTTCAGGAGCTTCCAAAACGAACGGTACTTACTCCAACCGCTGCGCGAGAGAGTAAAGCTTAGTGCGGCTGCTGGATTCTTGCCTTGGGCTTTGTTAAAGCTTCTCTCTGTCTCCTGCGCTCTCTCCCGCTCTCACGCTACTGCACGACATTAACTCGGCCATGTAAAATAATTTACGGCGCTGCATTGCAAATGACATTGACTTTATACTTTTGCAGCTTTTGTACCCTGTACTTGTGTGCACTGCGACGGGTGTAACGGTAATCGCAGCGGGTCAGGCAGTGCATGTAGAAGCTCGCTACTCCCGGGCAGTAACGGGGTATCTTTTAGTTGGAACATGCTTTTGAGTGCCTCTCTCTCTCTCTCTCTCTCTCTCTGGTTCATATTTCATGTGTGCAGAGTTCGGGTTACTGCGTCACGCTCGCTTCCGCGGCATCGCCTGTGTGGTGCACATTTCGTCGTATGTTGCATGCACACTGCTGGACGGGCTCCAGCCTGCGTCGAGAGCTGGACTGGCCAATTGACCAATGGCTGCTTATCAGGCGAGAACATGGTTCTATGGAATTTCATTAGGCTTTCCCCCCACCCATTCGCCCACGCTGCTGGCCGCTGTTCTACTGCCTGGTTAATGGTCGGTTGTTGGCCCTTTTTATTACCTCGTTGTACGTTGTTCGTTGTCGCAACAGCCGCGTTGCCTAATGGCGTTAGTTCGTTAGCCAAGCGATAAGATTGCCCAGCCAAAAGGGAAGGAACGGACGCAGCACAGGACTAGAAAGCCATCTCCATTACAAACAGGCAGGCAGTCAGGCAGTCAGGCAGCTCTTTAATTATGAGAAGTAAACCCAGCTTAAATCGTCAACCCTTGCCGTCAAGTGTCAGGCAAGGACTTGTCATTTTATTTCTCAGTGGACTTTCCACACACAAAAACAATATTTGTTACTTTTAGAGTTTAGTATCCAAAACAAAAATCATTCATTGACATTATGGGAAATTTATTGAGTTCCAAAACTAGTAAGTGCAAAAGACAACCCTCCGGCTATCGACAATTCTTAAGAGCCTACAAGCAGAAGCACCCGGATATGCCGCAGAAGCAGATGACCCTTTCGGCCCTGCGGAACTGGGGCAAACTCTCTCCATCGCAGAAGATGAGCTTTGTCAATGTGGTAAGTTGATTGCCTCACCTGCAGTGCCATCGTCATTGCTGTCTCAGCCATCCCTGCAGGCCAGTCATACCCTTCAAAAATTGAACATCACCGACCGCAGCAGGGCCAGGGCCAGGGCCAGGCGTCGACGCAACAAGAAGACTGGAACAAAAACGCAAGCCTCAAGCCTCCCAGAGTGCGACTTCAACTCCGATGATGACATTCGTTTCCCCATTTTCATGAATCAATATCGTTCAGTTCACAAAGAGCTCTCCGAGTCAGAGCTCTGCCAACAGGGCACCAATGCCTGGACGGCACTCACCGAGGAGCAGAAGAATCTGTTCAAAGATACTCCCAGAACCGTGGTCCTGCTGGAACACTGCACCTGCTCATCGATTGCAAAGCCTAAAGCCCGAGCGAGGCGCAAAAAGAAATAATTATAAGTAAACAAAACTTTACCCAATAAATGACCGGCCATGCATGGACGCTTGACACGTGAGAATCCGATTTGGAATCAAGCTTAGCCAAGCGCTTACACAATCCGCAGTCTGTCTCCGTTGCCGGGCTTGCGTCCCGAACACATGTACTCCTGTCAGGACGCTGGCACGCAACGCGAAAGCTCCGCTCTAGTCAGAGCAACAGTCAAGCGAAAGTCAGAGCCACAGGCACAATCATTCACATTTAAATTAACATTTCCCGGCACCGATTATCCTAATTGGGAGCTGGCCTTAGCCTACTACTAGTACCAGTGGCTGTTCCGTCGCACGTGGGAGATGTGAGGCGAATGAGTCGCTCACTTTGGCTACTTCGGGTGCCAGGTACAGTCGGCACGCGAATGCCTGCTGAAAAATGGCTTTAATGTGACGCAAAACAAGCGCGGACTCATAAAAATGAAATGGAAATTAATCAAATTAGCATTTTGTACAAATAGCAAGGCATTACGCTGCTCATGGCAGCGATTTGTAATGCCAGAATTCGGGAAGGAGGCAAGAGGATGTGCGATGGCTGAAGACTGAATTGAAAAGCCGAAAACAACCACATGGAGTACTAGGACATGCGAAAGCGTTTCAGTTCGTTGCCTAGTTTGTGGGTTTGTGGGTGCCCTGGGAATGGCGTACATGCAATCCGGCCACGCCAAAAAGTGATTGCATAATTACTCAGGGGGCAGTGCCAAGTGTTCCAAGTGTTCCAAGTGTGCCCGTGGACCACAAAAGTATCTCCGAATGAAAATGAAAAGTAATGACCACCTCAGCCCTAGCTCACTCCCCGAATCAATTAGGCAGCGAGCAGGCCAGGCTAAACGCTGTCCGTCCTGCAGTCCTTCAGCTCTGCGAGGCCAGCTCTGAGTTGTACTTTATTTTGGGCAAACGGAGAACAACTTGTGCTTTGCTCGTGCCATTTTATTGCAACACAATGGTATTTTAAGTGCAAACAATAAAAATGATTTATTGCCACACAATGAGAGCACACTGCCCCGTACCGCGACCTGTCCCTGTCCCATCCCGGCTAAGGTGAAAAGTGAGCCGTGTGCCGTACATAAAATGTCTTGGCTGGGTCTCGGCATTTTGTTTCGGGTGTAATTAGAATAAAAAATGCATGCCAACTCGAATGCTCCACAAAAACTGAATGATTCCTTGTACTCTGTGTGTGTGCATCTCCCACCTGTGCCCGAATACACGATTATACACTTAGGCTGAATTATTGAAGCGGCTCTTGTCTGAAATGTTCGATATTCATTAGAGCAGCCTTGGACAGGGCGGAGGAGAGCATTTTCCTGAGCTGTGAAAACGCTAAGTGCAGGCTGCAGGCAGCAATGAGCAAAGGAAAGACCCCCCAGCAGAGGGGATGTGCAAGATGAAAACTTTTAGGAAAACACACATGGACCCAGAGAGAGTCAAATGTGGGTTAATATGATTTATGGAAATTTGCCAGCTTCGCATTTTGACAAGCACTCGACCCAGGCTCAGCCTGTTCCCTTGTTCCCCCCGCCAGGTGGAAAACACACACAAAGTCGCTTTTTGGCATGACTCCCACGAAACCTTTTTACTTTTTGCTCGAATTTGTCAACTGAAACAGTTGACGTTAGACTCAATGCAGCCACCGGCCCGCATAATGCCAGGCATTTTGGTGTCATTGTTAAGGAGCAGCACATCCAGCAAGCACAGCCCCAACACAGACACAGACACAGACACAGAGAGCAGCGAGAGAGAGAGAGACAAGAGACAAGAGACAAGAGAGAAGAGAAAAGCCAAAAGGCGTAGTAGACTCGACTCCATTTGGCTGTCTCTGCAATGTCAGTGTCAGGCTGTGTTCTGGTTGTGCTGTTCTCGTGAAAGGTTTTTCATTTGACAAATGCTGATTAAGCGGCCCGAGACTGAGAGTACGAAATATTTGCCTATATTCGGGCTGGTATGCGCGTCGAGTGTCCTGTGTGTGTGTGCACTTTAGCTGCCTGTCTGGGCCATAGTCTAGGCCCATTCAATCAAGTCCCATCACCCGGTGAGTGGGTACCCAGCAGGATCATGAAGATGTCTCGCATATGTTTTGCAGCATTAACCAGATTGCTGCTGTGAAACCTCGAGCGTGGCGCCGCCGCTTGCCTTGGCGAGATTGAAAAGTCAACATGGCCGAAGGTGACAAGAAAAACAAATAAATGGACATGACACGCATATTTAATACGCCCCCACATACACACCCTCTGTGTGTATGGCATGTGCCACATTTTGGGTGATAGGATCGCTAGGCATGCTTGTCATGATATTTGTGTTGCCTTTTCTCCTGATTTTGTTGTGTGAATATGTGGCACATTATTCATGATTAGGTTTAGGTCGTTTGCTCCTCGTTTTTGTGTGTGTGTGTGTGTAGAGTGTTGCCCACTTTGATTGCTCGACAAGATGGCTGTCCCGCTCGAGGATGGGCTTCAGGCAAGCGGCTCGTAACCCTGTCCATTCGTCAGTCTCGAGGGGTATAATTAGTCGCACAAGTTTCGCTCACCGCTCACCGCTCTCCGCTCTCCGCCAGACGCTAATGAGGCCAATAACTCAATTGCGGCTAAATGCAGGGACAGCCACACAAATCTCAGAAGTTTAAAACGTTTACACACCATTTAAATCAAAATTAATGTCCGATTGCAGAGGCTACCCCGTACCTGCAGCAGTAGTTGTATGTGTTAGCTGGAAATCATTTCATTTTAATGACTCCACGCTTCGAATAAACTTTTTAATTACAAACTTCAATTACAATTAACGAGCGGCAGCTAAGCCAGAAGAGAAAACCCCGCAAAGGGACAGGGCTCACAGCTCTGGCTGCCAGAGAAGCAAAGATTCTGCTCCGTCTAGCTGTGTTGTGTGTGTGTTTTGCTGGCTCCAGCGTTTGCATAATTGCCTCGGACCAGCTACGGCCAAACGGGCTGACAATGACGGGCACAAGGCACAAGGCACAAGGCACCAGCTAAGCTGCTGGGCAAACAAGCCATCCATGGATAATTAAGAATAATAATTACCTCCCTTTTCTGCAGTTTATCTGCGTCTGTCGGGCTTCCATTTCTTATTTTCTCTGCTGGCCCGCCAGCATGGCCTGCAAAGCTGCAAATAATGTTGATCGGTCGGACTCTGTGTGGCTGTGGTTACCAAAGAGAAACACGAACTATACTTACCATTTAATGTGTTAATGCACTCGTTTGGCTCGATTCTCCATACACAGTTAGTGGCAATTTGTTTGCTGGCTCTCTGGCAGGGGAACTAACAACTTTTGTGCACGAATAAAATATAAAGTGAAACTCCAAAAGAGAGGCACGGGATGTCAGCTTTAACTTTATGCGTTTGCTCCTCTCCCCCTCTGCCACATGCCACGTTTCAGCCCGCTATTTGTTCTGAATACACAGAGCCAAGCCAAGTGGCCTGCGTTCCCCAACTTTGTTTCACTTTTGTCCCCTTGGCGGCTTCTAATTTCGCCTTTTTTTGTTTTGTCTTTTGTTTTTAACAAAATAAAAACTTTTCAATTTGACTTCTTGTTTGCCGAAATGTGAAAGTTCTGAATGAGTAGAACAACAACAAAAAACAAAAAAATAAGAAGAGAATACCTGGGAGCCGAACAAAAGACGTGAAATGGCCAGGCTGACAGTTCAAAGGAATCTGTCCAAGGCAGCTTCGGGAATAACTTTATTCAAATTGAAGCGCCAGTTCAGGGCTCTATTTTTTGCTGGGTGTCGACCAAAGGTGCGATGTGTCGCTTAATGGCTGCCAATTCAATTATTGTTTTGGTGGCAACATACAATTTTCAATTTCCATCACCAGACAACAAAAGCCGCGCGCGCCTGGCAATTCAATTTTGCCAAACACCAGGCAATAAATAGTCATAAAGCATTTCGGGCCTCCACCTGCTATTGGCTGCCAGTTGTAAATGAAAAAGCGGCGCAATCAGTGCTGCTGCATTATCCTTGCCATGGCGATCATCATCAGCGTCAGACACGCCGCAGTGTGTGACATTCCTTGCATGTCTTACTGACATTTAACATTTGCGTTTCGTGTTTCATACTCGGTACTCGCCTCGCGGTGTGTTCTGTGTCCTCTGTCCTGTTTGCTGTGTGGCGGCAAAACAAGGCTAGTTTTTGCGGTGCCAGCAAATAGACAATCAATGGCTCCTGGGGCGAAATTGAAACGCAAGCAATGGGCAACTATCTGTATCGTTGTTTTACAAGTTTTAGATTGCGTGTACGAGTACGAGTACCCCACCGGTCCCCTGTCGATCCGGCTGTAAGAGTAAATTGAATTTTTGTTTCTCAACGACTAAAGCAAAAACAGCTCAATAAAAGTGTCAAATGGGCCAAACGGTACGGAAACAATCCCACAATCCCCGCTTCACTTTTTTTTGAGTAACTTTTGCAATTGGCTCTCGGCCTCAAATGGAAACAAAGCAAATCCATCAATCAATGCGGAGAGTGTGGCAATCTTTTAACTACTCATTTATGTGCTCTAAGTGTGCTTCAGACGGGGCCTGTGTTGGGCGGGGGGCTGGCTATTAATTGGCCGAGCTCCAGCAACACTTCTCGTACACTCTCCCTCTCTGGCCGCAGTTTCAATAAATTGTTTTACACTGGTTGCCACTTGCTAGCGTCATGGCAGGGGGTGTTTGGTCTGCGGATCGACTACAACAATAACTTCAACAAATACCAGTGGCACAGCAGAGTGCAGCAGGCAGTGGCAACTGCTACTTCAGCTGCCCATTGTGTGTTGCTGTGTGTTTGTTTGCTGGCCAATGGACCGACGTGACGTATACGTAATATTTCATTTCATTTGTACAACGCACAAACGCGTACTCCTCTCTCTGTGTGTGTGTGTGTGTGTTTACTTTCCGCTTGCCCCTGGCCACTAGCATTGGGCTTGTGGGGTGGCATCTCCCTGTCCTGCGCCACGACGGTCTTCAGCGTCTGCAACGGCAACTGCAACTGCTACACGGCCTACAAACGTTTGCACAAAGGTTCAACACCGTTATTTATTTAAT